ACATTTTTCAATGATTTAGCAACGAACTTCGATTTTTGAAAAATGATGGATTTAATTGCTAACAATTTATCGATCCATTTATCTACTTTCTCGCGATCTTGATACCTAGTTCACTCTTATTTTCTTCAAGAATGTCCAAGAGTGTGACGTGAAATTTTATGCATCGACAGACCAGGGTAAGCGACACCTCAGGCATTGCGGCGACCTGTAAAATATGCAGATGAGATCTGTCGGTCTCCCTAGAACGTTGCCGCCTGAATTTAATGTACTGTATAATACCTGCGTATCGTGAAACGTATTACGAGCGTGCGATTTCGCGACAACGAGATTTTATTCCCGGCCCCGCTGTGTTCCTTTTCAGATCGGGAGTTTTTCCCCGGCAATTTTATTTCTCGGAAGCAGTTTAGATTGAACGGTGAAAAAGAACGGGGGAGCGAGGTAAACACGCGTCGAGGAACGAAATATACGCATAACAATTTCGAAAAGCACGGTTCGTAACTGTTACGAAGATCATCGACGAACGGAACTTCCATTAAACTTCTGCCCCTGTTTTACATTACGATTTCCGATGCACACACGCTAAACTCCATTTCAGTGTTTCCCAGAATTGTATACCTTAACTTAACAATAGTTGAATTTTCATGCTTTCAAAAGGTTAAAATCAAAATATATTTTAGTACAGCGATTCTCACCTAGAGGTACATGTACCACTTATGAATCGCTCGTTTAATATAAAAGAATTCTTTTTTTTTTTAATTTGATATGATTCATGCTCTATTTACTCTTCCATTCGTTTAAAAGATAGTTGAAATTGAATCATTTATAATGGAATATTCAGTTAACGGAGTTTAGTTTGATATTTCAGCTAACGAAAGGAAACACTTTTTAAAGTTCTTTCGATGGTAGAAATTTGCAAGCTCGGATATTCTTGTCGATTTTCAATGTTCGGCATCACGTTCGGTGTTCACTTTGTCGTCGCAGTTTTCGATAGTCTCTTTTCGACTCGTGAAATAGAAAAGTTCGGAATGTACGAGGAACAGAAATTTTCGTCGAGTGGAGTTTTCACGTCGCATCGCGTGACCTGGTCAACGTTTATGATTTCCAAGCGTGTTTCATCCTCTGATACTGCAGCAAATTCCATGCTCTGCACAATGAGGTATAGATACCGATACAATAAACATCAGAGATTCTCTAAACGTTTTATACGCGGAATAATATTTATAGGAATTGTATTGGATCGTATGATATTAAATAAGAAATATCAATTTGAAGATATATTTTAATAAAAATGACTGCATAAATATTTTATAATTTACCCTTCTCATTTGGAGTTCATTTGGTTTATCAAAGGCATAATCAATGATCATAAAGAAACTCTTGTACATTTTGACATCTGGAAAAGAATTTCGTTTGCGAAGCTTCGGTTCGACAAGTTTCCATCAGATCAAAAGGGTAGAGAAACTTCGACACACATACATAGGTCGGCACTCGACTGAAATTGGTTGAAACCATTGATGGTGACGTGAAAAGGTCGAACGAAAAATTATGAATTAGAAAACAGCTGGTCAGTAGAAACTGGCGTGTGGATGTTGGCAAACTAACTGTACGAGCAGTACTTTGCAGGGTACAGTTTCCCAAATGGTTGCTCACAGGCTCCATCACAACGAGTTAACCAGAAATTCCGAGGGTGAAGAGGGCATCAAAACTCGGAAGGTTGGGTGGGCGATAACTGAAATTTTCATCGGTTGAAAATTTCACGGTTGTCGGGCCACGGCTTGTGTAGTTGTCAGAAAAAGCATCTACCAGTGCTGGTACCCAAAATAAGTGATATTAACAAATGGCAACTCTATCTGACCGTGTTTGCGAAATGAAACTAGTATCTTCTCGCTGCTTCCGAATTGTTTCATAGTTGTGTTATGAAACTACGTTAATTAAGTCAACTCACGATATTTAAAAAAAAAATAATTAAAAAATTTTTGTTTCTTTTTATTATTTATGATTTTACGGGGTAGTAGGAAATGTTAACTCTTTCGCTTTGAAAAGTACCTCCGTAATTTTCGAATTTTTTTTTAGAAACGATTAAAATGATTAGAAGTTTAAATTTTTTAACTATTCGCCTAACAATTTTAATGAAGTAACATTATATCAATTCGATGAAAATCATTTTGATACTTTTGAACGATATTGTACGTACGTAGCATCTGTACGTGAATATGGAGGATGTTAGTCCCTAGCCACAGTTGGATTTACACATATTCCAAAGTTGACTTGGCGCTTAGGCGTGCGGAACACACTTTTCTTGCAATCTGCAACGTGTGCCACCGAATGCTCGACCACATCAAGCGTTCTACACACGTACCAGCCTCGCATGAAGCGCACGATGTTCATCGTGTCGTACATACATCCGAGGGATTAAAAGGAAGAGGGAAAAGAGGAACGGAGAATTTAATTGCTAGAGGGCATTAACTCGTAACTAAGCTCCTTTCCGTGTATCTTTTGCTTAAAGTAACGAAACGCGAGCAATCAGATGACGAATTAAATTGATTTTCTGTTGTCATCATTTTCAGTTAATAAAGTTAAAATTAAAGTATTGATCGCCATTTAGAACCCCATTAAATTTCTTTTGATTCTAATTATTTTATTACGATACTCGCGTATACAGTGAAAATCTCTTTCTTCGTGTTAGCAACTACACACTAATCACTTGAAACACGCAGAATTTTATACGTTTCCATATCTAAAGCGTCCAGCCAACCTACCGTTTGAATAGCTTCCACCATGCAAGGCGAAATTTTATTCTTTCTTTATAACTATACGCCCACTCGTTTCTTTCGTGATTCTACTGCCACACGGAAAGGAGTTTCCAAGGTTTCCACTGTTTTTTCCGACCTTGACTTCCAAGTCCCTGTTGGGCAAGCGCATTTTTATAGCGCCGGATGCTCGCCTGTAAAAGATAGCCTTTGCCACATACACACACACGGTGTCCTGTTACAAAGTTAATGCGACTAGAAATTTGCTAGCCTGGCGAGTGCAGAGAACAAAGGTTTCTTTCGGATTAACCATTGAATTTATTCAATGTTTCCTTTCGAGTTTAAAAAGAATCGGAGACACTGACCAAATAGTAGATAATTACCATTTAGCGTAATGAAAAACACGAGGAAAGAGACACACCGCGAACAGAAGATAATCAACATTGAAACAGCCACCGAACCTTTGCTACAGATAATGACACCATTGTCATCAACAGAGGAGAGTTCTGTAGAACAGGAATTAATTGAGGGCAAAAAGTAGTACCTTAAATTACTTTTTTGCTTAATTTGCATGCAAATGGAAACTTTTGTCGCGGCACTGGAACGGTTCCTCTCTGTTGGTTCATTGAAAAACGTGTCTCTCACGTTTCAGTAAAATTTTGTCCCGCAAAAATTCAATATATAAGTAAAACTTTTTCACTAGAATTACATAAATCCTGATCACTTTCGAGCGAGAAATCAATTAGGCGTAGTTGTAATTAGAAGATCAATGGATTTATTGATTCGAATTGTCCACGGTATCCGGGACAATCACCGTGTAAGATCAGCAATTTTCGTTAATCTGAATTACGCAGGGGAATAATTAGATCAGATTCGCATTGGCACGAGTGCAGATCAGCTGATTAGATTCTGTCGGGTATTTAGGTGTTGACGTGTCATTATGTTACAGCCTGATTACGTCAGTCAGCTGTTCCTAAAGCAGATAATCGCCATTTGTCAAGATAAGTAGCTGCGGTTCGTCATGTGGCGGCGAACACGGCCACAAACATCTTGCCACCCCTTTCCTTATCGTCTGACGGCAGTTCAGTTCGTCGAGTAACTTGCCGAGAGAAAATCATGAAAATACTTTCACTCTTAGGAAAAATATTTTATTGAACACTACGAATAATGTATATTAGAAATATTAAAGTAATTTGAATAAATCTAATTAAGGAAGGGTGGTTCGTGGGAATTCGAAAAGCTTGGCTCGCGATGTTCCGCTTGAAATGAGTTTGAAGCGTTGCCGCGCCGAGTTTCAGGGATTCCGAAATTTCTAATGCACCTGGAAAATATCCGGCAAGTTCCGTCGGGCTGAGGAAACTTTCAAGCACCGGTACATTTCGTTGCGATGTATTACCACGGGGAAATATTCGGATATTTGGAGATAAGTTAATGCCCGACTATGGAAAACTGTAATGAAATTATTCAGTATTAATCGGTAGGCGAGTTTCATTGTTTCCAGTCAAACTATCGTAACTTGGCCGTTTGGTGTTCCAGCTGAAACCACAAACTTTTCTATGGCATTTTATAACGTTAAATGTGTGTTCTATTGAGCGGAATATAAATTGAATTTATATTGAATTTATTTTAAATAAAACAAAAATATTTGGATTTTTACGTTGAAAATTTCTTTGTTACAAGATAAAAAATTTAAATGGGTAGTTCAAAAAAGCTCCGCGTGGCGGCGCTTCCTGGATCGATCCGTTTATCGATCGGGAGTTTCCTCTCTCAAGCGACTCGCTAGTTCCGGGTCTTCTCGCTCGTTTGCGCGCCAAAACTTCGCGGACGCCATTACGGTTTTCTCAAGTGACAGTGTAGTTCGGACGCGTCTATCACAAATTTTTCAAAATTTAACCTCGGGCATCTCGAGTGAAGCAAAATCATAGTGTAGTGATCACAATGTAGCACTCTGATCTCGTCCACGTGTAGGCGACAAGATTAGCATTGAGCATAGCTCATTATACCAGTTTAGTTCAAGGAGCACGTGCGTCGTTCATCTGACAGCTCATTTTCACACATTCAGGTAACAAAGAATGGTACATATTGACTCGAATTGAAATACACATCAATTTTCGAAAAGTGACTTTGTTAATTTGCTACCAAGCGCAGTCCCCCGAGATTTCCATCAATCTCGAACACGAATAAATTGTGAAAATGTGATGATTAATGTAAATGTATTCGCATCTAACCGTGTCATCCCTTCTGTTTCAGGATTATTCGAGACAGACGGCGTGCTCATTCCTGGCACGATGTGTGACCTCGAGTTTGTCAGTTCACAGTCAAAACGGCAATACGGACGTTTCTACTCGCCACGGTACCCGTCCTCCTACCCAAAGAACATCCGGTGCTCGTACCTCTTCCGGGCAAGGTAACTATGCTGACCTACTATCAAACTCGCAAACTGATCCCGACATAATCCATATATAATGCATCTCGAGACCAATCTCAAGTCCCCCTATATATCTAACGTTCTCGCGGATTTAACGGCTCCAAACCGTAATCTGGATGCAGGTTAATTAACACCTGATCCATGTACCCTTCGTCCACTGTGATCAACATTTTCTGGGTTAATCAATTTACATTCGTTATTGATAAACAGTATCTATTATATAACAGAAGTAAAGGAAATATTTGAAATTATTTTCAAAAGAGGCTGGATAATTTTATTCTACAGTAGTATAATTGTTTTTGATCAGATCATACAGAACTCATAATCACTCTCTTAGTGATCAGTATGAATAATTTTTCTATTTAAAATATATTCAGTAATTTTAGATAAATAACAAAGGAATTGAGCATTTCACAGTAGTATATCACCATTATTAGTCAGACCATATGTAATTCTCAGTTGCCATTTATTATTTTTCGGTGAAACGATTCTTAAATGAAATAGTAGCTTCATAAGACCATCAATTAACTTAGATTTAAAAATCTGAAGAAGAATTAAATAGCTATTCCTCTTGTACATAATCATATTACACTTAGTAACGTTCTGCTCTTGTCACCAGAAATGTTTCGGTTTCCCTACTGGCGTAACTTTCTTCATTTCTCATCTCCACTCTTTATTACACTGTCTGTCGAAACTTTATGCCGGTTGTGTCGAGCATTTTCGGTATAATCGCATAAAGTAGCAGCCAGGGTGAAAAAGAGATATATTGTTCGCTGAGGGAGGATGAAGGAAGCGTCGGTATCCTTGAGACCGGATCTTCGAAATAACTACTTGAGAAAAGAATTTAATAGACGACACTTGTCCGGCATGTGGCTGCGAAAAAGAAATGAAAAAAAAGATGGAACTCTAAGTTATTAATGTACTCTTGGAGTTTTTTAATAACAACTACACGTTCCATTTCAACGATAATTTAATAAAATAAATTTCAATAAATGGCGATGTTAGTGTTTTGAAGATTTCAGATGTTTTTAATCTAGTTCAATTACAGTTACATAATTTAAGATGTTCTAATTGAATAATCAATTTTAATTAGAAACGTCGAAAGGCATTCCTGGTAGAAAACGAGTTGTCTTTGTAACAGAAAACAAATCCTTCTTCTGCTTTCAGTGG